AGTAATATCTCCCTGCCTCTCTCCCAACAACTGGTCCTACTGCCAAAAGATAACCACTGCTAAGTTTGTGTATCTTTCCAGAGAAGCACACATGCCATATATAAATGTCTAGACATCATGTTTATGTATATACATTACATAATTTTTAAAGAATAAATGAGATAATACTACACATACTGTTCTGTGCCTTGTTTTTTTCCACAGCAGTATGTGTGGGCAGCTGCCTTAATTTAACCAGTCCCTTCTTGATGAGTATTGCAACTTGTTTCTACTGCAACAAATACTGCAGTTCAAGTAAGGTAACATGCTAATGCAAGTATTTCTGAAGAATAAAGTCTAAGAACTGATGCTGCTGGATAAAAAAGTAGGGTAAATACATTGTACCTTTTTTCTAGGTATTAACAAATAGCCCCCACACAAAAAATTTATAATTCTCTTCATCCCTCTAACTGTATCCTAATGCATTGTCAAATTACTGCAGGCCTCTGTTGAACCAACCTCAAATAGCAACACTGGCCAAAGAATTACAAAGTCTAAAGTGAGAATGAAGACTAATATTTACCAGTGTTTAAGTACCAGAAACTGCACTTGACCTTTAGAGTACCTCATTCATACAATAGTCCTGTAAGGTGAGTGACATTGTCTCCACTTTTGAAAAGAGGAAACTAAGGCTCAGAGAGCTTACCCAATGTTACATACAGCTTTATAAGTAACCGGGCCAGCATTTGAACCCAGGCAATCTGGTACCAAAGTGAGACCACACGGAGCTGCCCCAAACTAGTGCCGAAGTAAGGAGTTCTTTAAAAAATGAGTGCTCCTGATTAACCAGGAAGAGGACGGTCCCGAAATGTTTGCTCACAAGCTCAAATGTTAATTTCATGCTACTGCAAAAAAGTCGTATTTTCCTCTTTCAGACTTTGCCTATGAACCCACTCTCAGGTTGTGCTTAGCAATCCAGCTCCAACAAAGCAACAGTGAGCCCACGGGCCACAGAACTTGGAGGGGCTGACTGACATGTACTTGGAAAGCTGATAGGCAGGGAACAGGGGGGGAAACAAGAAGCAGGTGGTATGCTAGCATGATCAAGTTAGATATTTTGGAGCCACATCAATTGTCACAAAAACATTATGAGGGAAGTGGAACTACTGTACACATGAGAGAAAACCACAATTAACTGGCCACAGTCTGTTTATACCAGCTTTCTCTGCCTTGAACACTTGCTTTTTCTGCTATACAGACATGCTGTGCCCAGTAACTTTAGGATGGCACTTAATCACCACAGAGCCAGACAGCTGGGAGCTCCCTGCCCTAACAAAACAGGTTAGACTGGTGGCCTTGCCTTCTGCCACACAGCTCCCATCTCAGGGTCTGGGGTGCTGCTTTCAACTACCCTGGAGTCTGGTATGTGGTCACCTTCCCTTGTAGCTGTCTGGGGCTGTTGTCAGGGAGGAGTGCTTATAACTCTCTCTTGGTAGATGGGGAAGTTCCTCTCAATTTAAATGGTAAGCATTCATGGCGTATTTGTCTTTTACTGTCTTAGGTCCTTTGCATCAAAGTAAGTGTTGTTATTGGATCTATTTGTGCACACCACTCCTAATGTAACATCAGCTATTCACTGGGAATAATGGGGTAAAAAGGAGAGGAGGGGGAAAATCTTCCCCTTTCACCTGAAATTGTCTCAATTTCAGGCACAGGGCTCCAGAAGCTCCAGGGTACACACAACAATGGAAAGGTCACCGAAAATTGACAACGTAATGTGATTTAAATTGGAGAAGTGGGCATCAAATTTGATGATCTGAGGAGCATCTTAAAAATACCATAACAAATGCCACAGAATGAAGGCATGGACACACTTCCACAGTTCAAAAACCAAATAGCACAAAAGGTATAAAGTGATGTCTCCCTCCCACCCCTATGTCACGGACACCTAGTTCCTACAGATATTTTATGACTATACTGGCAAGTATACATTATCTCAATTTACTTTTATTTTGATATATTACTACGTATATAAAAGCCTTCCCTCTCAGATTAAATATTTTTAAAGTGGCAGAAATTAGATTTTTTTAAATTTAAAAGTAAAAAGTTTTGAAATTCACAGTTGAACACTTTCACTCATAAAAATTTGCTCACATTTAGAAGTTAAATTGTCTACCTCCAAAAATGAAGTTGGTCACCCAGCATGCAGCAGATACAAGTTTCCTTGGGTCTTTTTGTCCTTTATTACTCAGAGGGAACAGGACAGTTACTCACTTCCTCTATTGAGTTCAAAAAATGCAATCTGACTTCTTACTATTAAAAAAGAGAAGCCCTGAAAATCTGTACTGCATTCACTTAAGTGTTCAAAGATTTTCATACTGAATTTTTTAACAGAATCTCAACAGTCTTCAGTAATCAAATGATATTAGAATTCAGATTGGGGGAGGGTCTTGAAACAGAAGAGTAAATATCCCTGAGAGAAATATTTTGTCACAATTATAGGCAAGCCACATCAAAATATTAATATTTGGAATAACCTAAGACATCACATGTTGACAAACTAAATTTCTTAATACATTTCAAAGTAACACTAAACCCCAAAGACATAGTACAAAAATTACACAGAATGGTATGAGATGATGTTGCCTTTTCTGAACAATCATCAATTAAACCAGATTTCAGTAACACAAAATGAAACAGTACACTGCAGCACAGCCCCAATGACTAAATGCTGGTGATGAGCTTAAAAGTACATATCATCAAAGGAAAATTCCACTGCTGTTTTTAAGCCTTAAGATAAAGGTGATTGAGCTCCTAAGAACACGGAGTACTCTTCAGAAAATGTGTTTTTAAATCCCCATTTACTTTCTATGCACTTGAGCATATATTTATGAGCCTGTCAAAGCTACCTTTTTAAAAGTATTTCACATTGCACTTTAATGAATTGGATATAGGGGCTATAAAATAAAAATATTTTCAAGGTTATCTATATAATATAAAGGCAATCTTCATTTGCATTATGGCTCAGAGTCAATCGCCAGAAATGACAATGTGCTTCCACTCCCCATTCTGCTCTCTGCTCAGGAAACCTCCTAGCTTAACTGCAGCCTTGGTTTCAGACATTTGTCACCAACTGACACAAACAACAGAGCTCAAGAGGGACCAGGTATTTTGGACCTGGTCCTGTTTCAATACAAGATCTTTCGAGGCCACTACCCCCTGAAAACTCAAGGGCTCCCGACAGCACTTCATAACCTTGGTGGCCAAGAGCCTGGGCTATCAGCAACCAATCAAGAACCATGAGGAAGCAAGGCCCAGAGCCAAGGGTAATTTTCACATTAAAGATTAAGGTGTCTGCTTTCCATTCTCTATCAGGGAACCCTGAATGGAAATTGAGTGGAGAGATCCCTCCAGTATAAGTGATAAAGTAAAATGTTGTCTATTGGAAACAGTCGAGAAGTGGGCTCATCCATTTCACATAAGGACACCGATGTGGGCCTTAACTCTACTGAATTAAATTCAAAAGGAGAATACTTGGTTCCAGTTTGGTGTCACGGTGAAGGGATCAGGGGGCTTGGGGGGGGGGGAAGGATGATTCAGATTATGGCTAAATGACACCTATGTAATGACAGAAGATTTGTACTGACCATTGTGCATGTGACACACTGTGTGCCATTAAATCCAGAAAAGGATGGTGGCATCATGCCCACCTTTCATAACAAAAGAAGGCTGATTCCAGAATTAAAGCCACTACTTTTCCCCTTCATACATTCACAAATGTATCCTCAAAATCATGTCCATGTTACAATCTGAGGAATACAAAAGCTCCTCTCTGCTTGGAGAAGGCAAGTGACTGGGCATAACTTCCCACCTGGACACAAGGGTGAAAGGCGTGCCCACATGGCTGAGCACCACTCTGGATCCTAAACCACACTCACCTTTCACAGCGCTTCATGCTCTGACTTTATCAACCAGGAACCAGGGAACACAGATCTCAGAAATGGATGCCGAGACAGGTTGACCATGGATGTGGCATCCACCAGGCCCCATACCCAAACCGAGAAGCCCTCAGTCCTTGCCCCACTCTCACTGTGGTGTGACTCCTGGGGTGGCGCGGTCCCCT